GATCAGAGCATCCGGACGAAGTGGAACGCGAATCCGATGAGGCCGTAGATGAGCTGGAGTCCGAGGAGGCGGATGACGAAGAGGCAGTTAAAGTGGGCGTAGAACTGGATGTTTGAGTTGGCGTGCTTGGGTCACCACAAGACGACATTCGAGGCCGGTCACGCTTCCTCTGTCTGGCACCTGTTGTATGCAGAAGTGGAGCTCCGGAGCCAGAGTCTGATGCCTCCGGAAGAGGACGTTGTTTACGGTGCTGGTGTCTGCGTCGATGCCCCTCGGAGGTTGTATTGGCAGTATTGACGGACTGAAAAATATAACATGTCATGTTAGATGACCGGTGCTGAAGCCACCACCAATGAGGCAAAATATGTCTTTCCAGTCACTCGTTACAAGGGATTTTGGCTCAGTGAGAACTAATCACTCATCAAAATGGCAAGAAAACATGTTAACACAACCTGTATCTTCTTTAGAAAAGTTGATGTTGCGGCATCTATCATTTGAAAGTGATTAAATCGCAGTCTAACAAAATGTTAATGGATAGCTTAAAGGATTGATGCTGAATTTGAGAAGAAAATAAGCATTATCATAGTCTGAAGCAAAAGCGTTTTGTGCAATAAAGACTGACATCACGGATTCGGCGAAAGATCATGTGGTAAACAAGTCGAAATGGGCCAGAAGAGTCCGAGTGCCTTTACGCCTAAAAGCCCCGATAATCTGCAGTATAAGACTGAAAGATAGCTGGATGATTGACGATTTTGTGATAAAGCGAATCGACCTATAAGAAAGCCATGCCTGGCTGTTGTACTAGCGGAAATCTCGGTTGCTCCAACGCGAAATCTGGTCCATGTATAGGTGGGATCGAGCTTGGAATCACTTGACCAACCACGTTCACTCGAAATGGAAGTAAGCTCAACAATTAAAATAATCATATGATATTTCTTAACTTGTCACCTCTTGCCGTTCTTAGGGATGCTGATGAAAAGTGAGTAGCGCATCATTCTTAGCTTGCAAAACGAATTATGGGCATCAAAAATACTGGAGCAGAAAAGAAGATTTGATCTGAACTCGCCTTCCGCTGGCTTCAAAGAATGTTAGTGATATCGCATCGTCTGTCGTTGTCGTCATGTTTTCTTTCAGCATTTGACTGTTAACTGGCTGTCTTTCCGGACATTTCGAGGGCATTGTAGTTGGTGGGTCGAGCTAAAATGCGTCAGAGCAACGATTTTTTCTTGAAGCTTTACTTTGTGAGATCTTTGCTCTCACAAGGTAAACTCAATTATTCTGATACAACACAGAAAAGGTTGGTCCTGGTTTCAATTGGTACCACATTCAGCATCCGTTGCCCTCCACCCCGCCCTCATCAATCTCCGTATTGTCTAGTCATCTAGCCATAAACCCTCGATTCCAGCCATCAATGGCCGGCATATTCGAGGATTTCGGCACATCACCTTCTGTTGGGCAGACTCTCATTTTGTGTGAAATTGCATGAAAAAGAGATTCCTTGCTTGATCTCACCGGAAGACGAATGCTGATTTAGTTAAGCTTTCGTCCCTTCCATGAGGGACATCATCTGAGCTGGAAGTGATTCATGTAAAAGTCTCAAGTTAACACTGACTGGCTAGTCTTTTTGATTTAGTGTCAACTTGAGACTTTTGCAAGAATAAGTCCCAAATCTGATGATGTTGGTGATAGGACGAACGAAAGCTCAGCCTATTTTTGATCGAACAGATGAAGGATGTCTCATGAAGTGGGTTGACATGGACGTCGTTTTCAAACCAAACGGCTACGGTACAGTGGGAATCAGCCGCCGTCTTCTGATGAGATCAACCTTCGAATCTCTTCATCATGAACGTTCATATAAAGCCTACTTACAAACGAAAAATACGAAATGAAAGTCTCCCTAGCAATGCTACCTAAAGAGATTCCCTGAAACCCAGTTATCTAATGCAATCCAGTCAACGTGGCTCAACATTTATCCTATCCTACCATCAGGCTCCACTTCACGAAGATATGAAGACCAAAATGTCGTGGCCTCTGTTTTGGTCTTATTTTCCTTTTTACGTATAAAATGGGTATTACCCCGCTTACGCAACTTGGTTGTGTTGTCAGGCCGACCTATTTGGACGTAACTTGTCCGAAGTACTCTATCATTCTATTTATGATAGTTGCCAGAGGACTTCGGACAAGTTGCGTCTAACCAGATAGCCCTAACAACAAGATCAAGTTGCAAAGACGAGATCAGACCACTTCCCCACTTCACTTGGATGTGTGTACATGAGTTGACAAATCCTTGTAATTAGACTTGTCTACTGTGTCAGCTAAGAATTGCTTTTACTTGCACAATGAAGAGTTGTAATTCGGTGAAACTAAGATTGGCAATTATCATTGTCGATGCAGACTTTGATGCTGGCAAGGCATCTGAAATCCATTGGAAGAAGACATAACAACAATGGTAGACAAGGCAGTATAGAGGGATCAAACAATTTCTAAGAAGCGAAAGGAGATAGTGACCAAACCATCTTGGTCTTCAGAGATACAGTATATAGTAAATTGGTTTAGATTAAGCAAATAAGTATTTATTGGTGTAAATGAGGCTTCCAACGCAATAAACCCATCCGAAAGCATATCTAGAACGACAAGACTCCTTAAATAAACTAGGATTACACACAAAAAGGATCCATTGCATTTAGAAGATTCAAACCAATTGATGTGATTTGACCAAAGTGACTGTGAAAGACTGGCTATGAGAATATCTTCGATCAAAGTAGGACGGAGGCAAGTAAATGGTAGAAAACGAATTCCATCAGTGATGCCTCAAATAGTGAGCGAAATTGCAAAGTTGTCGTCTAATTTTACTGAAAATCGGGCCAAATTGGAAGAAAATCCCATAAACGAAGGAAAAACCAAATGATTATATAACCAGGGGGAGTAATTATGCAAAGTAAAATGAAGTGTTCTCCAAGAGGCCCAACAAAGAACTCGGTCAAAAGTTAAGAGATTTATTGTGACATAACTTTTCATCCCGAAGGAAATGATGGCTGGAAGGAATTCATGAATTGGTTTCATCGAAAAACCAACAAATAAGGGATTTGGCTTGTTGCGTTTGGTGTCGTTTTTTATAAATCATCCTTTCAGTCTCTGACGATATATGTCGGACCGGAACAGACGAAGGCTTTGCACGGGCTCACCTAAGTGTTAAGACAGTGAACGGAGGATTTCCTAGCCAAATCCAACAGAGTTCACTTTATACATGCGAAGAAAATACAGGTTTCGAAAAATCTGCTGGGAAAAGATTGTCGTGAAGACTTTCATTTCATATGGAAGTGAATGATGAAGATTCGTAGGTCAATCTCGCCAGAAAACGTAGGCTGATTTGCGCTGTACTGCAGCCGTTTGGCCTTAATAAGACGTTCAGGTTGATACAATCCGCAAGGCATCCTCCACGTTTCGGACGAAGATGGGCTGAGCTTTCATTCTTCATGCCACATGACGAATATCGTCAGAGCTGGGACTCATTCTTGCAAAGTGCCTCAAGTTAACACTAAGTCGAGAATACTGACTGGCTTTTTCTATATAATATTTATAAACATTCAGAACAAAATTTAAGATTTAGATGGATATAGGAATGTTTGACTAATTCACATATACTCGGGTGTGTATGTCTGTGTATGTATGTTGACTTATGCACACAAAATCGGCCATAACCCGTCCCCTGGTCATCAAGGGTTAGCGACACAATGAAAAAAAGAAAAGAAAAAAGGATGACCGAGATCGCATTAGTTCGTAAGTAATCCTGGTTAAATTGATGAGATGTAAATTTGTAGATGTGTAAGTCAGGTTACGAAACCAGTAGTCCTAACCCGTTAGTCTGGATTATTACAGTTTACTGGCCCAAGGAAAAACTGGGCTGGGATCGCGTAGCCCCACACGTCTGTCTTGGCTGATGAGCCTGACATGTCTGTCAAGAAAGTACTAGTTTAGTTAGAGCCATCACTCAGCTGAC